AAAAAAAAAAAAAAAGAAAAAAGAAAATACTTGTCTGTAACAATCCTGCCGGGGCCTTGGCTGTAAGGTCTGAAACACGCCTGATATAGGTTGTTAGAGCCACAGAGCATGTGTCTAACTGTAGAGGTGCACAGAAGCACACTGAGGACACGGAATCACAGACTGGAGTTGAAAGCACTTCAGAGGCTTCCTGGTCTACCGTTCTCATTGTGCTGGCACAGAGATCGAAGCCCAGAAACATAAGGAGACTTGGCCAGCATCTCACAGGTAGCAGTCCAACTGGATCAGGCCTCAGATTTCCTGATTCTCAGTTCAGTTTCTTGACCACATCTGGGTAATGATGCTCATTCAGAAGATATGAGTATTGTAAAATGATTACCCTTGAAATTAACCATTTGGGAATCACCTTTCTTAGGTGGAATTTGACTAGTTATTTACTATGCGAGTAATTTCTATGAATGATCACAAGGATTAATCATTATTTGGAGAACCAAGAAAGTTACCTGTTGTGACGTACAATATTCTTCTGTACCATTACTGTGCATGACTCTTCCCTTATGGCACTCAACACAGCAATTTGTTGTTGTTCTTGTTTTTAAGCTGACTGTCTTGCCTACCAGATAGCTCTACAGTTACAGAGACCATGCCTTTCTTCTCCCTTTATTCCCATAGTGCCTGGTTCAATAATTATCAAATGAATGCATGAAATTCAGGAACTAAGAAGGAGTGGTCCTTTCACCTAGGGCCTGGTGCAATTACAAGCAGATCCTGCCATCACCGGGCAAAGACCAGGATTGGTTTTCTTGTCTGGTGAACATCCCTCACTGTGGTTGTTTAAGAATCCGAAGAGCTGACAGCACTATTCTGAATACTTTAAGCGCATGTACTCATTTCATCCTCTCAACCCTGTGAAGCACTACCCTGACAAGCCCTAAGTTACAAATGAGATACAGAGTTACAAAATTGAGGCAGGGAGTTCAGTAATTTCCCTTGGGCTCAAAACCTAAGCCAAGCCGCCAGGAGCCAGATCATGTGCTTCTAACCCCTGGGCTATATTGCATTTGAGCCAACCACTGCTGCGGAGCTTATCCCTCTTTTTTTTTTTTTTTTGACCTCTAAGCCAATTTGTATATTTGAAAACTTAGATACCACACCATGGTAAACATACTGACATTTCCCCAAACTGGACGTATATATGTTCGTCTCTGCGTTTTCCCTCACCCTTCTGCTCCTAACCCTTCCTGTTGAACTCATCTTTCACCTCTCGGCTTCAAGTGCCAACTCTGAAAACCTCCCTGGCCTGGTTTCCTCTCAGCAGAATTAATCTCTCTGTTCTAGGTGCCCTTTGTTTAAACTTCAATTCTGGCACTCAGCACATCAAGCCTGGGATGAGTCACGAGGGTGCTTGTGGATCTCCCCAGCTACACAGAGAGCTCGGTGGGGCGGAGGCTGGTGGGAATTCGTATTATCTTCTTGGGCCTGCTGAGCACTCAGTAGGTGCTCAGGGTTTTCAGAAATGAGATTTTTTTTTTTTTTTTTT